AAAGAAAAGAAAAGAAAAGAAAAGAAAAGAAAAGAAAAGAAAAGAAAAAAGAAAAGAAAGAAAATCCTGACTCCATTTAGAGGTGTGTGCATGCATGCATGTGCACGTGTGCGTGGTGGAGAGGGGAGTCCAGCTGGAACAGGTCGGTGCACAGCCAGAGGCAGGCAGTGAGCCGTCCGTGGGGACCCAGGGCTTCTGACTCCAGTGAGGGTGTGGGCTGAGGCTGGCTCATTTCTGTGTCGTCCTCCTGTGCCCTGGCTCTACAGACTCTTCCAGCTGGAGAGGGAGACGGACGCCCTCGTGAACTTCCAGCACTATTCTATCCAGCTGCCGCCCTTCTACGAGAGCTCCAGCCAAGTCCTGCACGTCGAGGCCCTGCAACAGCTGACCGACCTCATCCGCAGCCATCCCAGCTGGTCGGCGGCCCATTTGGCGGTGGAGTTGGGCATCCGAGAGTGCTTCCATCACAGCCACATCATCAGGTGGGCCAGGAGGGCCGGACCCTCAGGAAGGTCCCCGGGTCTGTGTGTGTGGACGGGCGGGTCCGGGGAGTCTCTCAGCCCTGCCTCAGTTCCCCTCTGTGGGTCGGTGTTGCCTCTGAGTGGGGAGTATACGAACGCCGGACTGAAGCCAGAAGGAGAAACGTAGGGCCCGACGGGTGCCAGGCCCACCTGGTGTGTTATAACCACCATGAACTTGAGTCCTTCCAATACCCGCATGAAGGGTCATCATCCCCCCAAGAGACTATGTGGCCCATGCAAGGTCAGTCCGCTGGAGACGGCCGAAGAGGCCTCAGATCCTTGCATCTCCTTCCAAGGATCCGGGTGCCCTCCTGGTGGCTGGACCGCTTTCTTGCATATGGCCCCTCAGCCAACACTTCCGTCAGTGGAAATGACCCCCAAGAGGGACCATGTGGGCCCCGCCGCAGGACTCCGGCTAGCCTGCTTGCCCTGAGGTGACCGCAGCTCGTTTCAGCTCCCAGGCTCTAGGCTCAAAACTCCTCACTGCCCTTTACAGCCTACGGACCTGTTCTTGCACACCATCATGGTGTTTCACTTCCCAGTGCTTCTGTCCATTTCCTAGGGCGGGCGCAGCTGCTATTATTGTTATCTTTTCGTAGATAAGGATATTGAAGCCCCGAGAGATTAAGCCAGTTTCCCGAGGTTAATGAGATTTCTGCCTTCCGATCCTTTCTACCCCACCCTGCCTGCCTCCCACTTCAGGCTGGCGTGGGCCTAGGACGCGTGTCTCGTACGGATGTGCCACTGAACAACTGATAAGATCATGTCAGCCACAAATAAGTGGTTTGAACCAGGCAGCCTGAGCATGGCGTGAATGCCC